GAATCCGGTAGTTTTTCAAAATAAAACATCTTTCGTATTCCGAAATAAAACTGAATTAAGGCAAGTTCTTTCTGTGCGGCCCGGTACCAAATGCCCGGCGGACCGGTACCGGTCCGCGGACCGGCGGTTGGGGACCCCTGCTCTAAAGTGTAACACTTTATTGAGCATGATGCTCAATAAAGTGTAAAAATCATTGCAAATTATGTTGCCTTCATTCCCCACAATATGGCGCAACTGATTTATCGGCAATTAAACCAAGTATGTAGGTCACATAAAAAGGCTGTTTTTTTAGTCTAGTACTGTACAGTATTTGTAACATTTATTCAGTAATCCCTTACTTACATTTTTGGGCCATTAAAATTGAATCGATGTTTTGAAAAGAAGTATTGTAATGCATCCTAATTACAACTACCGTCGAGGAAAAAGAGAAATAATACAACGGTGGAATAAAAATTGTATACTTTAAGGCATTTGTATGTTATCTCTATATACGTACATAGTTACATTGTACTAATAGGTTTTACTTTAGCTTTACATTGCCGGTAACAATCCACAAATAATTAGTTATGCTAACCAAGCTGTTATTGCTCAACAATAAACTGAAGGTGTGTGATGCTCGTACCGTTGGACACCAAGTAAATATTTTAAATGCTGATGTCACTTCTTTTTTATTGGGGGGTGGGGGGCTGTCAAGAAGAAGCAGAGCGTGGCAGCTTCCCCCCTCCTCTCCTGTTGTCAAGCCGAGAAAGGCTCCCCTGCCGTGGACGACCAGGCTCATGAAAAAGCTCGCGACCGAAAGGCCACCATTGGCTGTCCCGACTGCCCAAGCTGGCAGGCAGTCGCGTCAGGGAAGGACTGGACTGACAGACGCTAACGTGGAAATATCCCCCAAAGGAAAGGATATAACATTGTGAACTCGAACAATGGGATTTTATGCGACTTGTGGATTTCCCAGCTCGACGAAAATTAGCGTTCAACGTTCTCTGGAAGTTTGAGAGTTGATCCCGATGTGGTGACGCTACAGCTCGGAGTCGACGGAAAGCTAATGTTAGCCGACGCGCTAACATTACTTGAGCGATTAATCGTTTTTGTCTAGTTTATCGTCTTACTTCGGTATTGTAAGAACGTATCGACACATTAGACTATGTCTGGCACATAGACCCGAGAGCTGTTGGCATTTGATCAACTTTTAGCTAACTCCGCATCGTTATCTCGGCGAAGTTAGTCTTTCCAACTAGCAAACGTTAGCCACGTAGCTGGCCAGTAGCTAACGTTGACTAACTGTTGACTCCAAACGGATTTAAAGCCAAAGAATTTAGCTTTAAAATAAGCCGAGGCTAGTGAGCGCACAGCTGTTTCCACGTCACATTGCTTGCTGTATAGTTTGCTGTCTACATGTTTGAAAGCGATAAATCCACCCTGAAAAGGTTTACTTTTTAAAGTCGTTGTTTGTTTGAAACGTAAGGAAAACACTTGTAGGTATGCAATCACTGAATCAATCACCAGTTTACTTGCCTAATGCTAGCTAGCTCTGTGTGAGTTAGCCAGCTGAAGTTGGAATCCTGCCTCCAATGGGCTTGCTTTGAGGCCTTGTCTACAGTGGAAACATACCCAAAGCCTTAATACACACTATTCCACCTTCTGAGAGGAGTAAATATTTTAATGTCTGGGTATTTGGCTGTTCCCCTCACGACCTGAAAGGAGTACCTGGACCTCGTTTACCTGCCACTGGGGAATATTGTTGATTTTAAAGGTATTTGTAACTTCATTATCTAAGTGCAAAAAGAACTACTAACGCAAAGTGATAGGTGTGTGGGTGACAAGTGGTTTGTGTTATATGGACAACTTCCTGAGTATATTGCATAGGTAACAAGTAACACATGCAAATGTGTGACTAAATGTAGGGAGTATTTGTTGTTTATAAGGTGTACCCATTTGAAGACCATTGAATGCAAGTCCCGAAGCTAGGTCTTCTACAGAGAAAAGATGTTGACCAAGGATAAGTTTCAAATGTCGTTCCATGTATTGAAACTTTGTATTTTGGTGTACATGCTATTGATGCATTTGCACCTCCCATCTGTCATGACACATGCTTATCCCAGTCACCATCGTCTATGAGCTCATAACCTGTTGGACACAGATACCCTGCAAAAATTGCTGCAAGCGTAGGTCTGGCATTTATTTGCCTTTTGCACAGAACCCAGCGGAACGGAATGTTGTCACAACTGTTTGTTTTCTCACAGCCACACGGCATCTGAGAACTGAATTTTAATCAAACTTCACACCTCTCGTCCCCCTTGCTTGTTGTCTGCATTTAATGTGCTCGCACACGGGGAGCATCCCAGCTCAATTACAGCTCTCGCCCCTTTTACATTCCCAGTAGTTGCCAGCGTTTCCGTTTTTTTCCTGGGTTTCTGTCCGATATAAAACTCAGCGACACGGAATGGCTGGTTTGAACTGGACTATTTGCCTGCATATGGCACAGAGTAATTTAGTTTCACGGCACCTGATTCCATGTGATTTTGGTGAGGATTTTGTTTTTTTTTTGTTTTTTCCCTTCAGTTTAGATGAAGGCTAGACACAAGTGTCGGCATTTTGTCCGGTTTACTTGTAAGTACAAACAAAAATGCGGTTCAACAAGTAGTTCATGAAAGGTAATTGCTGTTGGCATGTGAGGTCAACTGGTGTTTTTCTTGCATCCATTAACTTATTCCTGGTTTAATCTGTTCCCTTGTTGGAATGCAAAATCCAATTTATTTGATTTCTAGCAATCTGCTTGAAGGACCTAAATCTCCAGGTTGTCGAGACTGGTTGTAATTCTGTAAAACTTTGTTACATGGTTGTTATGGTAGCCTTTACCCATAAGTTTCCAAAAATGGGACTACAGTTGTTTTCTGTGCAGAACCAAATAGGACTATTTTTGCTGAGCGAGTGTATTGCTGCAATATTTAGCAGTTTCAACCGATTTGTTTGATAAAGAGGCTGTTGCAATAGGTATGTTTTGTTGACTATTGACTGTGTTGACTGTGTCACAGCAAATGCATTTTTAACCTTATAAATGCCAAGACATGAATATACTTAATATAAAAATATCTCAAACTATAATGTCAAATAACTTGGCTAGTCACATTCTTCTGTGTGCTTACATAGTTGTTTTCTCTCATACTTTTTGGTTACGTACGAGCAGGGTTAACTGCTGTATGAAATCTACTGATCTTACTCGCTGTATTTTTCTTATATTACATATATATTTTTCAAAATATAAAGCCTTTCCTCCAACCAATTCCAGTCAGTCATAGCCACTTTTGCATTGGCTATAAAAGACGGCAGTATTGTTTAATTGTGATGCTTCTATCTGGTTTTGATTCTTTTACTGTCAATGTCCTAACTTCTCTTTCAATCCATGATCGTAGATGATGTGTGAAGTGATGCCCACCATCAGTGAGACGGAAGGACCGAATGGAGGAGCTGGTACAGGTCGTCGAGGGTCCGGCTCCCCATTACAGTCAGACTCTGAAGGTCATTTTGAGTCTCTGATGGTGTCCATGTTAGAGGAGAGGGATCGTCTTCTTGAGACTCTGAGAGAGACTCAAGAAAATCTGAGCTTGGCTCAGGGTAAGCTGCATGAGGTCGGCCATGAAAGGGACTCTCTTCAGAGACAGCTCAACACTGCTTTACCGCAGGTAAGACAGTATAAGGACACAGCACATATTCATCTTTTCTTAATTTTTTTTCTTATGATGTATTATTGATGTACATTTGCTTTGCCCATGTCCAGAATTGACCTGTTAGCATCACAAAGAAGTCCAGTTCCAGAAAGAGTTTGAGCTTATGGATGGGAGGGAAGGCCATCCTACATTTTGTCATACCATTAAAAAGTAGCCAATTTCGAAGAAAAAAATGATGCTCTCCAATCGTTTGATTTTCGACAATTTGATGCTAAGAGTCTCAAGCCACTGACAGTGAAAACCATTCATCTCCAAATACAAGCATAGGTAGAGACTTATCTTTTCACAAATGAGTTTATTATTATCAAAAGAAGCGCTTCTAGTGGGCTATACAGCATGATTAAAACATTTGCCTTGTGTCCCAAATTAATGCTTTCCTGGTTCGTGCTTTGCGCCATGACAGAAGTCTCTTAGAAAAGTTTTGATTAGCGTTTCCACCTCAGATGTGTAGCTGATCAAGAATCAGCATTTGTGACACAAGCAGGGTTGTACATTTAAAAAAAAAAATTGATGTGGTTCTCAGATGAGCACCAGAGCTTGTTGTTTTGTGCTCATTTTTTTTTCCCGACCCACCGGCCACATGGATGGACGTAAAGACTTCTAGCATGTCTGTGCAAAGTAGGGCATGCTATGATTGGCTTCCACTTGTGAATTTACTTCATTTATATAGTGTGTGTAATGTTATGTATAATGTCACTCACTTGAGCGAAAAACAAAACTTGTGAATGTCAACGACTATGTGCTACAGCTCTGCAAATAATGATGGATGTTCGATGCGTTGATGTTACCATGTTGTAGTATCAGGTACCGCTTCTTGGAGTAGTGTTACAAGTATGCGTACATGATCTTATAAAAGGCTTGATACTCAATACAGAGACCAATGAATTGTCCATCTGTTTGCTGCATTAATGAGTTGTGTTTAGAGCCACCAGAGTCATTCAATCGACGGATCAGTTTCACCTAGCACTGATGAAAATGAAGACTGACTTATACGGCTGAATTATTTCTAAAAATCAAATTGTGATTCCATGCTGATTGGGTGTTTGCAACGCAATGCCGCTTCAAGTTCAAATCTTCAAACGCCAGGAAATAAGCAAATTTGCGATCTCATTCCCACTCACGTCGCAGCAATTGCGTCATTTGTGCCGCCAGGCGTACTCGCTCACCTATTTGACCACAGTCTAAGATCTGCCGCACACTGCGCTATGCTTCCGAACCAGACTTAGACCGCATCGCAAAAAATTGACAGTTGGCCACTAAGTTCGCACACTGAGAAATTTCTTATGGGTTCTGAGGCTCCCTATACAATATTTTGAACTGTACCGCTTTTTTTTTTTAATCCATAAAAAGATTGAGTGTCAGTCAAGAAAGACGCCGGTTGCTTCACAAAGAGAATGTGGGTTAGAATAAAGATTCAAGTGTGGCTAATTGTGTGGCTATATTAAAAGGTGGGGCTCGCTCACATTCACTTACCGGTAATTGTACCCAGAGTGGTACATGCCGCTCGTGTACATTTTTACCACAAGCTTTTGGTCGCATAAAACACACAAATGTATTTTTAGCGTGTCCAATTTTATGTGCAATGTAATTGGCTGAAATTTACGATATTGTCATTCAAATTTTGAATCTCCACAAAACCAGTGCCCCGGTGATCGGCCACTTATAAAAAAAGTTGCCAAACTCCACACTCTGCACGAGAGTTCAGTCAGATTCAACCACATCGGTCAGTGTTTGGCGGCCCTAAAATCTTTCCAAAATGGTTCCAAGAGTTTTATATTTAATTGCAATAATTTTTGACTCTATTGGGTATTATGAATCCACGAAAAAAAGTACTTAGATTTAACAGTCAGTCGGCTGTAATGGGACCCAAGTTTGTTGGTTTAATCAAGGTTCCACCGTATCTGCAAACTGACCTAGAATTCCTGCTATGTGGTAAATAGGCCCATCTCCTCAGGGGGTTAAAGAAACATCCTGATACCGTTACGGTTGCACCGCCATGCCTCACTGTTGTGAAGTGTACTGTGGCTTGAATTTAGTGATTGAGGGCCCTCTGATAAGCTATCAATGGCCCTTGGACCCAAATAGAAATTTAATGAATCCAAAATTTAGGCCTGTCAATATGTTAAGTCAATTTTACTCTTTAGCACGTCATCTTTTTTTTTATTTTTTTTTTTAAGTTTTTTTTTGGGTGGGCCCTTCTTACCAGAAGATACACTTCAAACAGAAGTCTTCTAATTATCACATACTCATAGCTAAATTAAGGGTTGGGACGTAGATCGACCGGTAAATTGAGAGCTTCGCCCTTTGCCTCAGCTCCTTCTTTACCACGTCAGACTGATACAAGGTCCGCATCACGGCAGATGTTGCACCGATCCGCCTGTCGATATCTCGCTCCCTCCTGCCCTCACTCGTAAACAAGACCCCAAGATACTTAAACTCCTCCACTTGGGGCAAGATCTCCTCCCTGCCTCCTCCAAGGAAGGCGTGCTGGTGGAGTTTAGGAGGTCTTCGAAGTACTCTGCCCACCGACTCACAACGTCCCGAGTTGAGGTCAGCAGCGCCCCATCCCCACTGTTCACAGTGTTAGTGGTGCACTGCCAACCCCTTCTGAGACGCCGGATGGTGGACCAGAATTTCCTCGAAGCCGTCCGGAAGTCGGGTTCCATGGCCTCACCGAACTCTTCCCACGCCCGAGTTTTTGCCTCAGCAACCACTGAAGCTGCGTTCCGCTTAGCCATTCTATACCCATCAGCTGCCTCTGGGGTCCCACAGGCCATAAAAGCCCGATACGACTCCTTCTACAGCTTGGGGCATGCCTGATTGCTGGTGTCCACCAGTGAGTACGGTGGTTGCTGCCACGACAGGCACCAACCACCTTACAGCCACAACTCAGATTGGCCGCCTCAACAATAGAGGCACGGAAAACGGTCCATTCGGACTCAATGTTCCCCGCCTCATCAGGGACATGGGAAAAGCTCTGCCGGAGGTGGGAGTTGAAACTCCTTCTGACAGGGGATTCTTCCAGACGCTCCCAACAAACCCTCACAATACGTTTGGGTCTGCCAGGTCGGACCGGCATCTTCCCCCACCATCGGAGCCTACTCACCACCAGGTGGTGATCAGTTGACAGCTCCGCCCCTCTCTTCACCCGAGTGTCCAAAACATGTATCCGCAAATCTGATGATACAACCACAAAGTTAATCATCGAACTGCGGCCAAGGGTGTCCTGGTGCCAAGTGCACATATGGACACCCTTATGTTTGAACAAGGTGTTGGTTTTGGACAATCCGTGACGAGCACAGAAGTCCAATAACAAAACACCACTCGAGTTCTGATCGGGGGGGTTCCTCCCAATCACACCCTTCTAGGTCTCACTGTCATTGCCCACATGCACATTGAAGTCCCCCAGCAGAACAAGGGAGTCCCTAGCAGGAGTACTCCCAGCACACCCTCCAAGGACTCCAAAAAGGATGGGTATGCTGAGCTCCTGTTAGGTGCATATGCACAAACAACAGTCAGGACCCGTCCCCCCACCCGAAGGCGGAGGGAGGCAACCCTCTCCTCTACTGGTGTGAACCCCAATGTACAGGCACTCAGCCGGGGGCAATGAGTATGCCCACACCTGCTCTACGCCTCTCACCGTGGTCAACTCCAGAGTGGAAGAGACAGGTCCCCCGCCTTTGGCTGCTGCCCAGCTCACACTGCACCCCTTTGGCCCCTCCCATGGGTGGTGAGCCCATGAGAAGGGGGATCCACGTTCCCTCTTCGGGCTGAGCCGGGCCGGGCCCCACGGGTGTAGGCCCAGCGCTCGCCAACGAGCCCCACCTCCAGGCCTGGCTCCAGAGGGGGGGGCCCGGTGGCCCGCGTCCGGGCAAGGGAAACTTAGATCCATTAATTTTATTCGTCATGAGGGGTCTTTGAGCCGTGCTTTGTCTGGTCCCTCACCCAGGACCTGTTTGCCACGGGTAACCCAGCCAGTGGCATAAAGCCCCAGACAAGTTAGCTCCTAGGATCATTGGGACACACAAACCCCTTCACCACGGTAAGGTGACGGCTCACGGAGGGGCATATACAAGCAGTCCTTTCCATATTCCGCTCCTGCACTTGAATTTAGCAGTGTCTGGATCTAGCGTGCATAGCCCACGTGATCAAAACAACCAAGCCTGTGAAGGAGCGAACGAAGATGGCGGCCTTGTGGGAGTCTTTTACAGGGCTGTATGGTGCGTCCAATTTGGGCCGCAGGCGCCCAAAAGATGTGGCGACTACAATGAATAATAGGTTGTACACAGTGCCGTCAAAAAGTATTCTCCCCTTTTTGATGTCTTTGTCCTTTGCAATTTATCACACACAAAGATTCCAGTTCATCAAACCAATTATCACACAGAAACAACCTAAGGAAATACAAAATGCAGTTTTTGAATGCCAATTGAATTTATTTAGACGCCGCCCCCCCCCCTCAAAAAAAAAAAAATCCAAACCTACCTGTCCCTATGTGAAAAGTAATTGCCGCCTGGACCTAGTAATGGGTTGTGCCACATTTGACAGCAATAAATGAAATCAAGTGTTTGTGATAATTGGTGGTGATGCGTCTTTCACATCGCTGGAATGCTTACGTCACTTACATGCAAGTAATTGGCAGGCCCAGGCAAGATCTGTACTACTGCGGTTAAACAACACGTGTTTTTGCTACGGAATTAGAAAACACAGCCACAATGGTGGTGAATAAGCTATTCTTCTTGAAAGTATCATTCTGACGAAGGGATTACAAGGAATAATAAATCGAGGGAAAGACGCCATACGAATTCCTAAAGTAACCTGCTGTTACTGCGATTGGCTGGCAACCGGTTCAGGGTGTCCCCCGCCTGTTGCCCGAAGACAGCTGGGATAGGCTCCAGCACCCCCGCGACCCTTGTGAGGATAAAGCGGTTTGGAAAATGGATGGATGAATGGAACCT